AGAGGACTTGGCGCCACGGTCTCGTGCCAGCAAGCGGCTGGAAGACCAGGAGGAACGACGAAGCCGGCAAGGACGAACAACGCATCAAGGGCTGTTACGTCGACATGAGGAACCTCCGAAGACAAACTTGATCAAGGACTGGACCTTGTGGAGGGGACGACCGCCTCCAAAACGAAAAAGACCTCAAGCAGAGGAGGAACCGGTAATGTAGATGAACCGGCCTCCCCAGAGAGAATGAGTGTGCCATAGAATGGAAGTAATGGAGGAATGTTTTGTTAGTTTAGAATTATTTACTTTCATATCTCCTATCTAAATTTCTGGTTGGTTGGTCAGTCAGTCGGTTTAATAGTTTCTAATGACGCACTTTGACAATTAAGTTATTTGTGTTTTTAATCTCAACTGGTTGGCATATTTGTAACTCATTTTCTGTTTGGAGACCACTAGGTCAGTTACATTATCCAGTTGGGTTGAGTGATTTCAAGTTGTTCCTACTCTTGTCCGCCAGGGGTCTCCATGACATCTTAGAGCGGAGTAAGGAGCTTTGTGGACAACCAAAAATAGCGTCCAATTTTGCCTTCCCTCATCTCTTAACACAAGAGAGAGATTACCAAGGAGATGGAGAAAATTATACAAGGAGCTTCATAATTTATATTCTTAACCAGATATTGTTAGAATGGAACAAAAATCAAGGATGACAAAGACAGCACATGCTATAAAAGATAACACACTCTCATTAAAATAGTGAAGTTGAAAGAAGAATATAGTGAACTGTTGCTACTCCCGTCTTCACCCTACCACCCCCAACCATCACGAAGTCGGGAGCGGTTCTTCATCACAGGCTCTCGCATCATATTCACAATCTTCCCTAAGGTCATCTCAGGGAATCCAAGCTCGCAGCGGAGGGCCTATCAGAAGTTATAATGATCGACCATATAACAATAACAAGATTTAATGAGAACAAAACACAATATAATGCACTACAAGAATACACAAAAAAATAGAGCGTTGCAGGCATACAATGTTGCTGACAACCCAACATACACAGCTGATTTCAGCCCTATACATATCCACACTTCGCGGCATCAAACTCAGCTGACATGCCCAGTTCCACTGGCCCACCTACATTATGTACAGAAGTCGTTACACCACAACACGACTTCACTACTGCTTCTAGGTCAGCCACAGGCGGCCCCAAAGAAAATATATATATTAACTAAACAATTGGTCAGCCACAGGCGGCCCCAAGATAATATATATACTAACTAAACAACTCCGCGTATCGCCGCCATACCTTTCCCCTGATTGCTGGCGACCGCAAGTAACGCCGACGTCTGTGGCCAGCTCCCGATTTCACTGAAACTAGCTTTAGAAAAACCCTGCCGAACTGAAATTTAGAAATTCCTCCCACTGGTCCGCGAACGTCCTCGCCCGAGTGGATCCACTATCCGAGTACACTGCTGCTCCCAAAACAACCTTCCTTCCGAGACACACACAAGGGAATTAAGGGAGGGGTAAACAACGTGGTATAGGGGATGAGGAGGGAGTAAGCTCTAGGACAACGATAAAGGGGTAGCGTGGAAGATATGGCTGGAAGCCATGACATCACGAAAGGGAGCCATTGCTTCTGCATGGCTCAACTGTGTTCTGAAGTGTGACACCATGTAGTCTGGTAGAAGTTAGGCATTTTGGAAGAAAGTATTGCCTCCATCTACAGGGTCGACGAGTAGGTCAAGGAAGTATGCAGCAGAGAGCTCGCTTAACTTACTCTTCGATTCTAAAGCTGGAGGTAATACAGTCCTTCCTTAATACTGGCAAACTTCTACCAGATTACACGACAGTTCAGCCTGGAAAATAATACTCTTCACAATCATCACCACACAAAAACTTAAAAATATGTCAAATAATGTGAAAGTTAAACTGTGTGGTCATTAACTAAAGGCATGAGAATGCCTGTGGCTAATTTATGGCACTTAAGAGAGACATCTTTAAACAGAAGATATTCCACTCACTCACAAGGGTCTTGCTGAAGAGATCAAGCTGGTGGAGCCATTCCTCCACTTGAGGTTTAATAGGGCCAACATGTTTAGAGCTTGCGACTGTGTTTATGTTGATGAAACTGTCATCAAGGACCCACTGGATTTCCTCAGTCCCACCCAAAATATAAACATCCTTATAATCACGATGAGAAATCACAGAAAATTCAAGAGACTTCCAGTTTCCTTCCACCTAGAAAGGAGAAAAACAAATACATGATTACTGACACATAACTTTTAATTAGATTTCTCACTTAGCCTTCTTTATGTAGTGCATATGCCTACATATTCATATGTTAGTATTAGCAGAAGTACCCATTCTTTGACAAGGATTTGGCTGCTTCCCTTGTTAACATCACAATATATAGTAGCTAAAATTGTAAAAAGAATGAATAATGCACATTTTACAAAATTATTTAAGAATATTTATATAATTTCAATCTTCAAATACATATCAAACATTACTGTCTGATGAAGAAAGCAGTCTTCTGGGATTTGGCGCCGTGTATATGTGGTGTTAACTGACGTTTCGGAGGAACGTATCGCCCCCATCTTCATAGTCACCGCCGTGAAAGCCTCAAATCTTACATTACTGTCTGATATTCCATAGTCATGTTTTTAGAATATGTTTCCTTGGCCCTCAATCTTAGATTTCTAAAGAATCTATGTAGTTAGAAGATGACAGGGCAAAAGACAAGTTCTCAGAGAGATGTTCGTCATATTATGAATATGTCACCCTTAGACAGACTAAAATTATATGCAAATCTGCCTGGTACTCTAAATTGTATGCGATTTGTTAAGATTTGTTAAGATTTGTTTGAAACATTTAAAAGTTTACAGTTTCTTCTTTCTTCTCACAATAACTTAACACAAGTCAACTGTTCTAACACATGTAACAACCCTCAAAAGAGTAACAAAAGCAGATACTACCTTCTTCAGTAATACTTCAAGTGCAGCTTCTGAACTTGCCTGGCTTGAGATTTCCTGCATCTCTAAGCCATATGAAAATACACCAATCTGTTCAAGAAGCTGCAATGTTATAACAACATCAGGCTCAAATTTGTAGTTTAGAACCTGCTCTATCTGCATCCAGTGCCTTTGTTTGAAAGATGGGTTTCGTAAATATGCAATTACTGGAAGCTGGAACAAAATCCATATTTGTGACAGAAAAAATGTTATTCAAAAATGCAAGGTATTGGATTTGACGTTCACACATTGGTGACATGTGCAAAGTTATGCCATAAAGTCTGAATGAAGTTCACCAATATTTCAGAGGAACTTTCTGACTCCATTTTCATGGTCAAGGAGTAAGCAAAGCAAGCAATCATAAAGAAGCATGAAGCAAGCTCAGAGTGCTTGCACTTAGGGTTTGCTTCATCTATCCACTCACTTATCAATCCAGAATGTGGAGACATCACACAGTCTGTATAGTCAGTGTCCTCACTGATATTTGAATTGGGCACATCCCAAATACAACTCAAAAGTGTTATTGCCTGAGCCAACATGCTTAGTCCCAAACACTAGAATATCCAGTTATCTTGTAACGTATACTGTTAACGAACATGTTGAGTTATAAGCCTGAATACATCATACAAATATGCACAAAAATTTACAATTATTCTCACATGTGCAAGGCAGGGTCAATGCAATTATTAAATAAATAAAAGATCATCAAATATCTAATAGACTAATGCCCATTGTATTACACTTAAACAGTTAAAATAATACTTACTTTCTGCTTCATTCTTTCCACAGCTTGACTAAACTTTGATACTATAATATTTTGTGGCAATTCTTTCTCAAAAATATGAATGTTTTTCATATTCTTAGCAGTGAATAGGTTCATATCTTCTGGGATAAGCTGATTGAAGTCCACTGTAGACCATTCCTCTACCTGTTTCCCCCACTGATCAGTGCTTTCCCAGATATGCTGACGCAACTTTACAGCATTCATAACATCATCAAGCATGTCAAATCTAGTAACTTCAACCTTAAAAAAAAGAATAAGGTTACATTTAAGCAATGAAGCTTATTCTGAAAGCCTAATTGACTTTTATAACGCCATTCTGTTTCAGGTCTAAGATTCTCATGGCGATAACTACAAAAATTATTTCTCTTTGGCTCATGATGCCATGAAGTATAATAGATATGCTTATCAGCGGTTCAGAGGAACAAACAAGGAGATGGATTCACCTGTAGTTCTGTTGTTGAAAGAGTACCAGAATTTGAGATAAATTTAACAGAGAATCACTGATTACTATAGTGTCAGTACTACTTCATTCACAAATGTAGCTCAGAATTCTTAGGACTTATGAAATATCTTACGATTCTCTAACAATTTTAACAATGGATGATTCATCAAATTAATATTATGATGAACACTTTCTATTGTCTGGGGTTTATTTGAAACATATTACATTTAAAAACTAAATACCTTTTTGGTTTATCAGGTGACAGAAACAGATCCAGTTTGTAAAACACTATTTATTATAAATACACCTCAGACAACATACAATGTCTAGCATAATATTAGTATAAGTATAATAAGGTCCAGTGATTCAGACAAATGTTTTCTGATTGGTACAATTAAGCAGGATCCATTCCCCTTGTACATAATCATGGAAACAGATCCAGTTTCTGTGTACTTCACATATTACATTATACAATGGACAATATCCAACACAATATTCATATAAATTTCTTTGTGTATTTATTTTAAAAAGTTATCACCTTAAATGATTTTTGATAATTTCGGTATTCTTCTGCTTTCTTCTGGCACTCTGCAAGCTGATCACAGAGGGCATCTAATGTCACTTTTGCTTCATCAGGATTTGACTCAATGTCAATCAGCCACTGTTGCTGTAATAATATTTCAGAGAAAATTAACCTTTCCTGTCTTCTCTTGATGCATTGACAAACAGTGCAAAGGCATGCTCAATATATTTGGCATTTTCTTAAACATCCTTCCTGCATATAATACTATAAACAATAAATTACACATAGCTTACATTTGCTTCTTCCTGAACTTCTGCAACCTCAGTGAGCAGTGCAGTGATATCTTTCTTAATCTGTTCATTAAACTTTCCAATTATTTTTCTCTTTTCATTAACTTTCTTATCTACAACATTTCTCAATGCAGTTAGAGTAACTTTAAACCCCTGAAAAGAAACAAAACAAATGTAGTAACATAAATAACCATTAGAAAGAAGAGTGACACCAAAATCTACATACTTTTTGAAAGTATTTCAGGTGAACATTCTTGTAAAAATTAATAATATAAAGAATATAATACATAGCATATCTTACCAAAAAGTCTTCTTCTTGTTCTGCAACACAGGGTACATGAAATTCATTTATAATATCATAAAGCTCCTTTGCATAATCCATTTCATTTTCCATATTATCAATCTAAAAGGAAACAACATCTAATTACAAAAACTGAAGCTTACATTTGCAATACATATCTAATTATATACAAGAGAAAACTCCTATCATGCTTAGGGGAACCAAATGTTCAATTGTGGCGCTCTGACTGGGACAAGGGAAAACCCAAACTATCTTCTGCCAGTGATAGCATATGGAGACAGCAATGAGGAAAGGATGGACCAACAAAACGGATGCCACTATTAATGTACTGGCACAGGAACCTGAAATGTTGTGTGGTGAAAGTGTTCTGTAAAATTAACAATTTTTGTTAAAACAAATATCTTCTAAGTATAAAAAATTGGAGGCCCCACGTTCCTCTGAATTGTTGGTATTGACCTACTAAGCTACATGCCGTGACATACCAGAAGGCAATATCTTGAAAGTACTGTAAGACATAAAAATTCTATACCTTACCATTTTTGGAGCATGCTCCAAGAAGCTGAGGTAATTAACATAGTTGTGTGTCGTTTTTGGATCCATTTCTAGACATGACTGCGCATCCTGTGCCTGTACAATTAATGCCTCGATCTTTTCCTTACCAATCCTGAAAGAAGTTTCCAAATGCCAACAGAATTAAAGAATACTATCTGCTAGGATGCCATACCATGAAGTCCAGCATAAGTTCACGTAAGTTTAGTAAGTAGTGATTTTCAGAATCATAGAGTAAGCCAAGCAGAAACTGGCAAGAAGCAGGTGTCAAGAAAAGTGGTTTGTTGCTTGGTTTACTCTTCAGTCTTGAAGACTGAGTCAATATGTTCCTCCGATATATCAAAGAACATCTACCAAACTACATACATATATATCCCAGAAGACAGTACTACTTGCAGTCGTTGATGTGAGCACCACAAATCCAATACCAACAGAATTCATTCTTAATCTCCCATTTTCTACAACTTCAGAACGTAATATATATAGATCATACTGCACAAGCTTCCAGATATCCAATCACAATTCCAAAACTCCTCAAGTTAAAGTTGTCAACAAGAGGAAAGATTTACATAAAGTGTTCAGTACATACCGTGGAAGTGTACATTCAACTGCAGATAAAAGCTCTGTTACAGATGGAAGGACAGCTTCTTTAAATCGCTTAAACTGTAAATGCAATATACCCAAGGCTTGTTCTTCAACTATTTGTTCAATTGCATCCAATTCATTATGGTATGTGGTCAGTAAAAGACGGAAAGTTTCAATTTCTGAAATGTAATAAAATAACCATTCTCTAAAATTCCTGAGCATGTATAGAAAATGTGTACCACATACTTATATTTGACAAAAAAAAATTACTGTTACATGCCTTTCTGTTATGCAATAACCAAAAATACACCTTTTCTAAGAAATGTGTATTGTACCTGTTTCATTTTCAATAGCATCACGACTTTTCTCTTCGTTTTCTGCAAAGAATTGTCTTACAAACTCAAATCTCTGGATATAGACAACTGCAGCCTCAAAGTTCTTCTTAAAAAACTTCATAATATTTCTCCTCAATTTTACCAAGTTGTTATCCTGTCTAAGTACAATTCTAAGGTTTGGGCCATCTCCACACAACTTTTCTTCAGTCTTTCCATTAATCATTGGCCTGAAATATAACAATGTTTAAAATGTTTTAACAACAAATAAGGAAACAATTAATATTACAGTTTGAACAATATAAAACATTTCAAGCTTTCTTTCATGCCTCTTGAGGATACAAGAAAAACATCTTCATTTCCATACACTTATATCGATATATTCTACAAAATTTATTCAGTTCCATTGAATTTCATAATCATTCATTTTTACCATCCTTTTCATAGACTACATTTGCAATTGTAACATTTACATGAGTCTATAGATGTTGCACATAGGTACAAGCATAACAGTAAGGTACACCCACTGGATACAACACGGGCTGAATCCGAGCCCCTGCAAACCTTCCTATTAGTGTATTAATATTTTCAGCCTTGTAATACTAATTAATAACTTATATTTTTCGCTAAGTGTAATCAGAATGATAAAGTCAAGGACTACAAGACTGGCAGGGCATGTAGCTTGCATGTGGGTGAAGAGGAAGGCATTTAAGATTTTGGTGGGAACCTAGAAAAAAGAGCCCTCTAGGAATACCTAGATGTAGGTGGGAGGATAATGTTAAAATTAATTTTAGAGAGCTAGGATGGCATTTGATTTGGCTCTGAATAGGGACCAATGGAGGATTCCTGTGAACATGCTAATGAACTTTTGGGTTCTGTGAAATGTTGGGAAATTCTTGAGTAGCTGCACAGCTGGCAGCTTCTCAAGAAGGCTCAGCTCCATGGAGTTATATTAGTTACTGTCATATAGCAATTCTAACATTCCACAATCGCTATTATGTATTCCTTTCAGTCGTGGAACTGACTCACTAAACTGTAGTCTCTTTATCTTTTTGTATCCAGAATGCTGTGAAGTTTCCGGTGTTGCAAGATGGTCGTCTCGTGTTACACCGTTGTACTGTTTTAGAATAAAGTCATATGTTATGTATGAAGAGGAAATTCTTTTGTGTCAGTAAGATACCTTCCCTCAATTTAAACATCAGGTTATGGGCCCAGGCACATAATAAGGAACAGCCAAGTTGATATAATGAGGTGAGACAGAAGGTAAACACGTTTGTGGAAGTAGAAAGGACAGCACGTGCTGGATTGGAATTTTATTTAATATGGAAGAAAAATACAGGATCCCACTGTTTGATGGAAACAATTATCCGGTCTGGAAATTTCGTATGACAGTATATTTGAACGAGTTGGATTTATTAAGACATACCGAAACTCCACTAAGTAAATTGATGGAGGAATATCCGGAACTGGAGAATGCAGAAGCTGCTGCTGAAGCCGCTGTACGGACACAAGGAATGGATTACTTCGGAATGATAAAAAGTGTAAAAGCAGAAGAGTACATCGAATACAAGATGCCCAATTGGAATATATGAAAGGACAGGAGACTGCTTACGATGTCTGGAAGAGTCTACAAGATGTGTTTGAGAGGAAAGGTGTGACTAGTAATGTTGAAGACAAAGTTATTAAGTTTGAAGCATCAACCATTTTTAGAGACACTAAGTGAACATTTTTTGAAGTTTGACAAAATAATACGAGAATTGGGACTGGTTGTATTATGGATGAAACAGACAAAATATGCCACTTCTATCTCAGCATGTCTGCTGAATATGAAATAATAGTAACAGCATTGAGAACATTACCAGAAAAGAGTTAAACACTTGCCATGTTGAAGGGTCAGTTATTAGAAGAGGAGATGAAAAGAATGACCAAAAGGGGTGTTACGAAACCAAAATTGAACACTGATACAATTACTGCATTCAACTATCACAAGAACTATCAGCAATCAAAGTGGAAGGAGGAGGAAGTGGCATCACCTTTTCCATTCAATTGTCATAATTGTGGGATTAGAGGACATAAAATAAGTAATTGCAGGAAACCGGTTCAGTACAGTGGTAATTATCGTGGAGGTAACCATAGTGGAAATCAACATAATGGCAGGCACAACCATGTAAGTAATTATGTGGGATAACAGCTCCATGGAAGTCACCAGAATGGAATTAAACCCCAACCAAATGGAGGAATCAAGAAGGAAGTGCTCAGTATACAGAAAAGGTCTCGAGTGAAGGAGAGGCTTGCAATCCTTGCACATTTGTTGCTACGACTGATAATGGTGAAGTGTATTTAAGTGCAAACCATAATTTAACATGGGTATTAGACTCTGGAGCTACGGAAAATACATATGTGATAAACAGATATGAGTTGCCTGTTCCAACAAAGATTCATATTCATGATTTATTTAAACTGTCTTGCAGTGCATACACTCATCTATCTCCTTCTCTCACTCGCACTTCATGTTTCGGCATAAAAATGCCATCTTCAGGTGCTTACTTAATCCATGCCAAACTAGTTCATTGCATGCCTTGTCCTCACATTAAAATAAGTAAAATATATATCTATCATATACACTGACAAATGTCAAACGTTAAAAATATTAAAATTGTTCAGGATTCCTCATCGCTACGTCGCATCTCACTACGCCAGTCACGCCCATCCTCCTCTGTTGGAGCACTCCTTCACTATCGAGTGTGTGTTGTGCTTTTGTTGTGTCTTGCTCCTGTGACTGCGTGTGGTATACTGTTATACTGCACCTGAAGATGGCATTTTTATGCCGAAACATGTAGTGTGAGTGANAATGGCAGGCACAACCATGTAAGTAATTATGTGGGATAACAGCTCCATGGAAGTCACCAGAATGGAATTAAACCCCAACCAAATGGAGGAATCAAGAAGGAAGTGCTCAGTATACAGAAAAGGTCTCGAGTGAAGGAGAGGCTTGCAATCCTTGCACATTTGTTGCTACGACTGATAATGGTGAAGTGTATTTAAGTGCAAACCATAATTTAACATGGGTATTAGACTCTGGAGCTACGGAAAATACATATGTGATAAACAGATATGAGTTGCCTGTTCCAACAAAGATTCATATTCATGATTTATTTAAACTGTCTTGCAGTGCATACACTCATCTATCTCCTTCTCTCACTCGCACTTCATGTTTCGGCATAAAAATGCCATCTTCAGGTGCTTACTTAATCCATGCCAAACTAGTTCATTGCATGCCTTGTCCTCACATTAAAATAAGTAAAATATATATCTATCATATACACTGACAAATGTCAAACGTTAAAAATATTAAAATTGTTCAGGATTCCTCATCGCTACGTCGCATCTCACTACGCCAGTCACGCCCATCCTCCTCTGTTGGAGCACTCCTTCACTATCGTGTGTGTGTTGTGCTTTTGTTGTGTCTTGCTCCTGTGACTGCGTGTGGTATACTGTTATACTGCACCTGAAGATGGCATTTTTATGCCGAAACATGTAGTGTGAGTGAGAGAAGGAGATAGATGAGTGTATGCACTGCAAGACGGTTTAAATAAATCATGGACTTAAATCAGTGCAACAGGACGCTAAAATATAACATTAAGATTCATATTGCTAAAAATGATAGTTATTTAATGGCATATGCAAAGGGAAATACAATAGCAGAGTCCTGTGTGAATGGAGAGATAAGGAATATTAAAATTTCAGTTGTCTTCTTAGTCAAAGACTTGACTACAACTTATTATCAGTGTCTAATCAAGACAGGATGGGTTTTATTACAAATATATAAAATGGTAAAGCTGAGATAACAAAAAATAATACAGTTGCTGGAACTGCAGATCAAGACGGAAATTTGTATAAATTGAGTATGACTATAAAGGAACTGGATGACTGTGAGGCTTACTCTGCTGTTNTCATGTTTCGGCATAAAAATGCCATCTTCAGGTGCTTACTTAATCCATGCCAAACTAGTTCATTGCATGCCTTGTCCTCACATTAAAATAAGTAAAATATATATCTATCATATACACTGACAAATGTCAAACGTTAAAAATATTAAAATTGTTCAGGATTCCTCATCGCTACGTCGCATCTCACTACGCCAGTCACGCCCATCCTCCTCTGTTGGAGCACTCCTTCACTATCGAGTGTGTGTTGTGCTTTTGTTGTGTCTTGCTCCTGTGACTGCGTGTGGTATACTGTTATACTGCACCTGAAGATGGCATTTTTATGCCGAAACATGTAGTGTGAGTGAGAGAAGGAGATAGATGAGTGTATGCACTGCAAGACGGTTTAAATAAATCATGGACTTAAATCAGTGCAACAGGACGCTAAAATATAACATTAAGATTCATATTGCTAAAAATGATAGTTATTTAATGGCATATGCAAAGGGAAATACAATAGCAGAGTCCTGTGTGAATGGAGAGATAAGGAATATTAAAATTTCAGTTGTCTTCTTAGTCAAAGACTTGACTACAACTTATTATCAGTGTCTAATCAAGACAGGATGGGTTTTATTACAAATATATAAAATGGTAAAGCTGAGATAACAAAAAATAATACAGTTGCTGGAACTGCAGATCAAGACGGAAATTTGTATAAATTGAGTATGACTATAAAGGAACTGGATGACTGTGAGGCTTACTCTGCTGTTAATGTAAACAACAGTAAACTATGGCATTTAAGAATGGGACATGTAGGACATGATCAATTGAAGCAGTTATCTAGAATTGTTGATGGAATGAATGTGAATAATAATGAAACTGAAATACGCGAAATATGCGTTAGTGGTAAACAAACTCGAGTGTCTCATAACCAGACTAGAGTTAAAGCTAGTAGACCCCTCGAAAGGATTCACAGTGATGTAGTAGGTCCAATTGACCCTGTGTCTTATAATGGAAATAGATGTATTCTCACCTTACTAGATGACTACATGCATTTTTCTGTAGCATTTCCAATGAAATCAAAAGCAGATGTTTTGGAGTATGTCAAATTATATGTGGAAATGGCAACAGCTAGATTTGGAGCTAGAATTTGTTCATTCAGATCTGACAATGGAAGAGAATATTTGTCGGAGGAAACCAAGGATTATTTTAGGAGTAAAGCAACAGTGTATGAGTTGACCATTCCCTACACCTCTGAACAAAATGGGTTGGCGGTGAGACTAAACAGAACAATATTAGATAAG